ACAAGCCCATTCATAATGTACTACAGACTTGGACTCCTGGGCTCAGGCAGTCCTCCCACCTCAGCCTCCTGAACAGCTAGGACTATAGACATGCTCCACCACACTTGGCTAGTCTTATCTTTAAACCAAGATTTGAAGTGTCAATTACTGTGTTAGACATTCTAATTTCTGAATCAAGGCTATACTTGATAAGTTACAGTAATTGTAGATCTTGATAAACTAACAGCGATCAAAGAAGTCATGGGACTTCCAACTCTTCATCCAGTAGCGGGGGAAGTATTTCCCTCACTGAGCTGGTTTTTTTTTTTTTTTTTTGAGACAGAGTCTCACTGTGTTGCCCGGGCTAGAGTGCCGTGGCGTCATGCTAGCTCACAGCAACCTCAAACTTCTGGGCTCAAGCGATCCTTCTGCCTCAGCCTCCCGAGTAGCTGGGACTACAGGCATGCGCCACCATGCCCGGCTAATTTTTTCTATGTATATTTAGTTGTCCAACTAATTTCTTTCTATTTTTAGTAGAGATGGGGTCTTGCTCTTGCTCAGGCTGGTTTCGAACTCCTGAGCTCAAACAATCCTCCCACCTCTGAGCCACCGCGCCTGGCCATTGAGCTGGTTTTAGATAGTAGTTGGGGAGAAGTATTAAGTTGCTTTTATGGTTTTAGCCATGAGTACAACACAAAATATATATAAATTAGTACCACAAAAACATTAGTATTACAAGTCTGTACATCTTTATACTTAATTCTAAATCTCCTCTTGATTAAAAAATTTACTTATTAAAGAAACAATTTTGTCATTCTAAGTAATTTTAGGGTTGCCCTTCCAAGTGGATTTTGGGTTTACCTTCTCAGATGGGTTTTGGGTTTCTTAACAGTGATTCCCTATTTAGGATGTGGTCTTGCCCACCGCTCTGACAGACACAATACGTCCTGTTTATTTTCACCATAACAGGGACTCCATAAATCATAAGTAGGCATTGGTCACTATGTCAGAATTAGGCTTGACTTTATAAAGAACCCAAAACAACAGTGGCTTAAACACCTAAGAATTTAGTTCCCTCTCGTATAAAAGAAGTCAGGAGGTGGATTGTCTGGGTGAGGCTAGTCAGTGGAAACTCAAGCTCCCGTTAGGTATTGTCTCATTATCTAACATGAAGCTCCAGCCATCATGTCCATATTAACAGGTTGCAGGAAGGAGGAAGGGAAGGGCAAAGGGCACATCCATTTCCAACAACATCTGAGTCCATCTCATTGGACAAAACTTAGTCATATGGCTATACCTGATTTGAAGTAGGCAGAGAAATACAGGGTTTTTTGTTTTTGTTTTCTTAGCTAGGCCTTTTGTCTGGGATCCTGTTACTAAGAAAGAATGGATATTGATGGACAATTAGTAGCTTCAGCTACTTAGCCCTCATCTCTGGATTTGTCATATTAGAACCCATTTCTCATGCCCAAAGAGTCTTTAATCCTTGTAAGTTTATATCTAACTTTCTTCACTGCATGAGTTAGATTTTCACATGTGTTTGACTTTCAAAATATCCGAATGATTTCTAACTGGATTCTAAATAAGATTTTGACTGTAGTCACAACTTCTAAGTTTGTCGTCCTGACACTCACTGTTAGGCTTCTATTAGATCTTCCATATATTTTAACTACTTTTTAACATTTTTTATCTCTTCCTAGAAGTTAAAGTTAGTTCATTTTAAAATCTGCCTGCTTTTTCCTTCTTGTATTTTTTTTTTAATTTCTACTTCTAATTTTATTACTTTAATCTTATTAAATCTTATTTCTAATATATCTGGTTGAGGGACTACTAATCTGTTGTTTGTTGTGAACAAACAACTGACAGTTGTGAACTGACTGCCTGACAGTTCGTTTCTTCACATTGTAATTCTTGATTATGATTTCATCTTCAGCAGGTATTATTTTATATGTATGTCTCAAGCATGCATTATTAAGTGGCTTCACTTTCCTTTCATGTTGCTTTCTTGATGAGATTTTCATACTTTTTGTGTGTTCATTATTTAGGACTTCTGGAGTACTTTTCTTATTTCCAGGTTCTTAATGTGTCCTCAGGATTGGATTGCTGGAAATTTGATCTTCTGGTTAAGTGGAATATTAATATGCTACATTTTTACTAGCTTTAAAGAGTGTTTTCTTTTAATGAGCGGTATCTTATAGCTTAAGGAAAAATAACTTAATTCAAAGATATTCAACAAACAGGCCAGATCTGGTCGCTCACTCCTATAATCCTAGCACTCTGGGAGGCTGAGGCAGGAGGATTACTTGAGCTCAGGCGTTCAAGATCAGCCTGAGCAAGAGTGAGACACCATCTCTACTAAAAATAGAAAAATTAGCCAGACGTTATGGCACTTGCCTATAGTTCCAGCTACTTAGGAGGCTGAGGTAGGAGGATCTCTAGAGCCCAGGAGTTGGAAGTTGCAGTGAGCTACAGTGACAACACTGCACTCTACCCAGGGTGACAGAGCAAGACTGTGTCTCAACAACAAAACCAAAAGGGAAACAAAGATATTCAACAAACATACAGTGCTTATTACATGCAAAGCACTACCTTGAGTTATTCATTACTCAACTATATTAACTAGTGAAAAGATTTGAGTCAATAATACCATAACTGTATATGTAATGGGTACTTCATAAATGCTTATTTAATGAAGAGTTTTCCTGGCATGTATTACTGAAAAATGACATTCCATTATTGTTTTAGTTTGTATGTCTTCAATTATTAAGATTTAGCATCTTTTCACATCTACTGATCATGTATATTTCTTCAATGACTTAATATCCTTTGACCATTGTTTCTGAGTGCAAAGCAAGAAAATAGTACAACAAGGATACACACTAGGCTTTACAGAGGTCAGCTCTAGGGAGGAGATTGTGAGGATGGCGCAGAAGTAGAGAGGCGAAAGGGGATTTTGCTTAAATAGTCCTGCATTGTTAGAGTTTTTTTCTTTTTCTTTTTTGAGACAAGGTCTTGCTCCGTTGCCCATGCTGTTAACTCACTGCAGCCTCGAAGTTCTGGGCTCGAGCGATCCTCCAGCCTTGGCCTCCCAACACTGGGATTACAGGCCTGTTTGAGTCTTTTAAAACAAGAATGTGCTTATATTTTAATCTTTTGAGAATATATTCATGTAGTACTTTTAACAGGAAAAGAATTTTTTAAAAATAGTTATATATGCTCATTCTATAGAAAACTTAAAAGTATGTTGCACAACACAGGGATAACCATTGCTTAAATTTTGTGCATTTTCTTGCAGTGATGTTTGTTTTGGTCATAAATTGTCTTATTGGCTTTCAGTGTATTGCAGTTTTGTTTCCAGCTTTTTAAAAACTAAATCTTATTCTGTGAGAATTTTTCAATGTCATTAAAAATTCTCTGAAAACATTTCTTCTGGCTGAAGAATTATGACACATCCAGACCATGAAATATTAACATTTCTCTGTTGTTGAGACAATATATTTACATTGCTCCCATCTTTATATATAAATATACTTTTTGGGTATT